CAGTGAACAAGTGTGTGGCTAACAATGATTCTTCTGATTCAGAATGTACATACAAAAGAACTTTTGACTTCACAATATTTACAAGCTTTATTGACTTATAGCCAAACAAAAAAAAAACCACCAAAGGAAAAAAAAAAAAACACAATAGTGGTAGAGGTTCATAAGATAGTCAAAGCAATAAATGAGAGGAATTTTTGCAAAGCTGCCTGTAAGACCAACTCTGATCCCCTTCCACTGCCTGCAGTCTGTGTCTGTTCCCAGCAGTGTTTCTCCTTCTGTTTTTTATGCAGGCCAACACTGATGGAGTACCTCTGGATTTATTTTGGAGTACTGATACTTTTTAGGGATTGGAGGTTGGTTATCAAACTGAAAAAATTACTCATTTGCTCCATTTTAATCCAGCTAACTGCACAGTGTCACTAACATTCACAGAAAACTCAAGTTTCTGAATTGAGAGAACAGCAATATGTAAATACCCGAATAACGCTTCAGGCAAAGGCTTTGAAAATACGTATTATGCATACAGTTTCTTGGCAGGCTGTGAAAACTCACAACTCATGGATGTATTCACTATATTTAAATACTAGATAAATTGCCTTGATATGATATAATTTACCAGTCTGAAAGAAAAAGTATGTTACTGCTGTTTACTTAATTCCTTTATTAATGTAAGTTACAGATATTCAAAGAACTTTGCCTTGAAAGGGAGGTGGTTAAGATCTCTAATGTCACACCTTTACAAGAATTGTTCTCTTATACTCAATAACTTCTAAAATAAGATCAATGTGTACACTTCTGCAAAAATAAAGTTGATTATTAAGAGAATTTTCCATTTAAAAATTTATTACTTTAATTGCTGCTATGACTTCCCTTTCTCTAGGATTTGTTTTCTGACAACAATTAAACTTCAGAATCTTACAAAAGAAAGAGATTATTGAGAAATTTTGCATCAGTTCCTACACATCCAGATTTCTCAGCCACAAATGAGTGGCTGAGACAGCCTTCAGTGTTCTTTTATCAACCAGTACTGGCTGCTTGAGAGATTCTGATAACATTGAAAGTTGAACTGACAGCTTGAAAAAATTTTAAATACACAAAGTAGGAACTGTCCATATACTCTCACTTTTCTATTCTTATCTCCAATTTCTTGCCTGAAATTTTTCTTTAATAATTATCAATAGTATTTAAAAAAAATTAAATATAGCTTAAAAGGACCTTTAAGAGAAAAAATCTCATTCTAGAAGCATGGAATAGCTGCAATTAAAGGAATACCACATAAGTTTCTGTGACACTACTGAAGAAGCATCCTAGGCCAAGACAACTCCAAGCTAAGAATTTAAAAAAAAAGAAAAAAAAGGATTTGCAGTGGGCTATAGCTTGCTGTGGAAAGGAGTATTTTACCTTGTGTATGAACACACTCTAGGGGGCATTCTTTGTAGACTGAGAGATATTGATGATGCAAACCCACATCTAGCTTCCCTATGTTTTCCCTTTGATTTCTACTGCATGCACACAACTTTCCAGAGTGGGCAAGCATGAAAAGGAAAGTTGACCTCAGAGCCTTTGCAGGACTGCTGGGCTACATCAAAAGGAGTGTGTCCAGCAGGTCAAGGGAGGTGATTATGCCCCTCTACTCCGCTCTTGTGAGACCCCACCTGGACTACTGCATTCAGCCCTGGGACCCCCAACACAACAGGGACATGGAGCTGTTGGAGCAGTTCCAGAGGAGGGCCACAAAGATCATCAAAGGGCTGGAGCAACTCTCCTGTGAAGACAGGCTGAGCGGGTTGGGCTTGTTGAGCCTGGAGAAGAGAAGGCTCAGGGGAGACCTTAGAGCAGCTTCCAGTACCTAAAGGGAGCCTATGAAAAAGCTGGAGAGGGATTTTTTTTACAAAGGCATGTAGTGACATAACAAGGGGGAATGGCTTTAAATTGAATTAGGGTAGATTTAGACAAGATACTGGGAAGAAAAAAAAAAAACTTTACTGTGAGGGCAGTGAGACACTGGAACAGGTGGCCTAGAAAAGCTGTGGCTGGCCCATCCCTGGCAGTGTTCAAGGCCAGGTCAGATGGCTTTGAGCAACCTGGTCGAATGTGAGGCATCTCTGCCCATGGCAGGAGGATTGGAACTAGATGGTCTTTAAGGTCCCTTCCAACCCAAACAATTATATGACCAGAAAATGCAATATTAAACATTAAAAGCATAATAGATATGCTTGTGTGTTTTGGATTAAACAGACTGTGGAAATACCTATATACTTTAAGTCTTAAATGTAGTTACATAGCTGGTAACCAAAATTATTTTAATTCACTGAAGCACACTATATACATGAACAAAAACATAGTTCTAAATTGCAGAGTTGCTCAACATCAAAGTAAGCAAATTTGTAACTCTTTTGAACAATAAAAGTGGGTTACAGGACCTCAGAGTATAACCTGGAAGTTAAGTGGATCTGAATTTCAGCATTCAGCTCTGGGTGAGCCACTTGTACAAATAACAAAGTATATAGCTGTGTAGATCTGTGAACAATTAAAAGAATGTGGGGTTGGCTGTATTACTGGTATTAAGTCTAGCAGAAACAAATGTTTCTAGGCAAACGTTTCACAAAACTGTTTTTTCAATGCTGCAGTTACCATAAACATTTAAATATTTTATTTCTACAAAGCAGCAAAGAGTTTTGCTCTAATTAACTTTCTAAATTTTCAGATCTGTTAAGCATCTGATATTATTGGATCTAACTGCTGCTGAATTCGGTATTCTGATGGAATTTGGTCAAGGAGCAAACCAACTGCAGAAGGCAAGGTTCACTCTAAAAAACAGAGACATCTGCAATCAGCAGCACTCACAGAAATGTTCACAGAACTCGTTTTTGAAAGGTATTTAAAATAAACTGTAATACCTCTCGTATTCAGATAATATAGCCTAGGGTTTCTTTCAAGCCTTAACACTAAACAATATAGCAAGCATGATGAATTTCAGTATCATCCAGAATTCTGGTGTCATTTTAATACGGAACTTCAAATAACTGTAAGAATAAAAATTCTCATTGTGCAGGCAGTAGAATTAGTTATGATAAAAGGCTTTTATGTGCCAATTCTCTATTATTTGGAAAAAAACCTTTGTGCAGCAAGCCCCACATGCTCCTGAGAAGCCATTTAATCAGTAAGTAAATGCACTCTTACATTATTTGTGGTATACAAAGGCTCATATTAAAATGCCTATAATTTTATTTTCCTTTCTTTTACAGCAAATGCAAAGAAAGCTGGGGAGAAGGAAACATGGCTTTCTACAAATTAAAAAAAAAAAAAAAAAAAATAGTATCACTGAGATTCCAAAAGTCCCTGCAGAAGACAAAGCTTCTATTGAAAATATTTAACTGTTTTAAAAATCTTTACTTTGCCTGATTGCCTGATTACTGCTTAATTATTAGATATCTACCACTTTTATGAGTAGGTTTCCACACAAAATACTACTAAGTCTTTTCTTGAAATCTGGCAGTTTGGCTGCATTTTCACTTGGTTTTTAACTTTGTCAGTGTGCAGCAGTAAACATCATTACCACAGTGAACTCTAAAGCTCATCTTCTTAGCCACGTAACAATATTTTTTTTACATCATTACAGATGAGCTTGTTACATTGCTCATACACGTACTTACAGATAGTTCTGTTGCCTCACAGGGTATAGGCCTCGTTAAAAATACTGTAAGCATTCACCACAACATCAACACATGTTCCGTGTATTTGTGTACCACCAGCCTTTGTCCTACAGCATGGGAGTCAACCGCTTACACGATCAGATTGAATCATTCAGTTTTGCCTATATCTTATAATTGTTCCTAGTATCACTGTTGGAGAAATCTGTTCTTTTACCTTACAAAAGATAGAATACAATATAAAGTAGACTATAATTTTAAAACTGTAAATCATCTCAATTTCCCTTATCCTAATTCAATCAATGGGAGTTGTCAAACTTTCTATGAAGTCAGTATAATCCTTAATGAAAAATAATATCTTATTTTTCAAATCTCATCTTGGGACTTCTCATTCCTATCCAACTAGTGATTTCTTCCAAAGCAGCATGAAAAACTTCTGATTTGTATCACAAAATCATGTATCTTTCAACTCCAAATTCTGCCACTGTTCATCTCCTTCATGCTTATCCTTATCAGCAAATTATACTGTATCTTATGGTTATTCATGCATAGGTATGAAATAATTTTACTGTGGTATCAAAGTAAAAATACAGCTGCAGAAAGCTAACATCACAGTACTTAATCAATTGGGCTATATCTTGCCAAACAAGGTTATGAAATTTTTCCATACTATGAAGTAAAATCCAGCAGATCTTCTACTTCAATTGCATAAAATATGTTAATAATAAAAATGTGAATTCAAGGATTTATATATTCAAATTTGGGGAAAAAAATTAGAAACCAATTTCTATGTTAAAATATTATAAAGTACTTCATATTACAAAATGTAAGCATGACAGTATGAGCATAATTTAAATGTTACCTTTATTCTAGAAATATTTGGAATTAAATAGTACTTTCCTTCTCAAAGTAGTTTTTGGTGAATTGGGGATAATTAAACTAATACTTTAAAAAACAATTTTAAGTACAGGAAGACCAGATAAACCAAATTCCAATATAAGCACGGTAAAAAATATTTATTTTAGTACTGTGGGAGTTGGGTTTTTTGCATGTGCTACAATGGCTGTGCTGCACGTTTTTTACAATCATCTAGGCAAAATAACAACACGCAATTTCTGTTACTGCTTATATTACAATATATCCATTTACACGTAATAAGATTAGATTCATCCCAATTTCCATTTTGTAGGCCACTTTTCATTTAATCTTCTTATGTTAGAAAAGAGGGAATTTCACCTTCATGTATAATAAAACCCAAACATTGTTATCTTATCAGAAGCAACACATCCAAGCATGTTGTATCCTATTTAGTTAATGTGACCAGAGAATAAAAAATGTGCATCTTACCTCAGCCCAAAGATATGTGACTGTTCATAACTGAATAAGGAATGAATTTTAGCTTCTGAGTTCAAAATTATAAGCCTGTCAATGATATCCTGCCAAAAGACGACAAATGTTAAAAACCTGATGTATGATTTCATATTTTATGCATGTAATAGTTTCACAGGGATGTTTACTATAAAATGAAACCTACTATTGAACACACATTGGAATTATTTCTGTCCACCATAAATGTCAATGGCAAAAAGAAAACACAAAGAAGGTTAGCGAGGGAAGGGGAAATCTGTTAAAATTTTAAAAAAATCACTACGCATACAAAAAGATCCTAGCATATCAAGTATCCTAGTTCTCATTTAGTATTAATCCACAACAAAAACATTAAACTGTTTTTTCTATGCTTGAAATGTGCATACATCTCTTTTAGTGAAAAGAACAGCAAATCCTTTAGTATAATACCCTTTCTAACACTAGTTAGTACTACATGCTTCAAAACACAGCCACTTATTCTCAGTGTAGCAAGGCTTGGCTTGGATGTTGAGGCTTACGTCTTTTATCCTACAGCATCTCATGTAATAGACAATGATCTGTGGCTGCTTCCCACTTTTTCCACAAATCCAACCTAATTATCTTCTGCTCTGGTTCACTGCATATTGAAACTGCTTCTAAAGAAATCATTTCATTAAAAGACTAAGAAATGCATAAAAACATCCACTGATGTTATCATCTCAGACGCAGATTGCTATGTTATGGTCAGAAGAAACAAGCTACAAAATCCTTAGGGGTTTTATATAATCTAGATTCAGTCCAAACTTTTATTTTCTCCACGTTTAAGAAGTATAGTTTCAGACACTTCTGAGTGAGTAGTTATTCAACTAGTTTGATCAACAAGCCATATCAATATGATATGAGAGAAAAGCAAGGATCCATTCTTTCATGAAATCAACCACAGCTCTGGTTTTTAACAGAGAGAAAAGTAAACTCTACAAGTAAAGTGTCCAGGAAGAGAAAAAAATAACCTAGTACTTGTCAAAGTAAACTGTCTTAAAAAAAATGCATTCTTATTTAGAATACAGTGAAACCATACTTTCCCTATTAGATGTTTTGGGTGGCAGCTGTGAAAACTGCACTTTTTCCACGTAATATGTTCACAATAAAATTCACAATAAAACAATTCAACTCAGACCTCAGGGTTGTTGATAAAACTGGTAATAAAAGCAATTGATTTGTTTGGGGCTTTTTAGATATTTGCACGTACAAAAAAGTTAAATGCCAATGGCTATTTCTCTGGTGACAACGTCCTCCCCTCATCTATACATCAAAGCTTGGAGCCTGCAAAAGATAGGAGACTACTGAGAAAGCAGACCAAGCTCTGATCTGGGAGATCACGAAGGAAGATAGCAAACAAGGTCCAACACAAAGTCCAGTAAGAAAAATGTGCAGCTAGGTCTGCACTGCTCAACTACAAACCACAGCTTAAATATTACAGGTAGCATGTCATCTACTTTGACTACCTAAGATACACCATCTAAAAATAAGATTATCCATATTCATAGGGGAAGGGGGGTAATTTCACCCACTTTGGCATGCCTTTCAAAGCTACAGATCTGGAGGGTACCTTCCAAGCTAGATTCCCTTGTATATGTGTACTGTAGAACCTCTCAAAGGAAGAGTGGAGGAAGGCAGAGAGACCCTGATTTATCTGATCCATTTTCTAATAGGTAGCAAGCAGAGCTAAAAAAAACCAAAAACCAAAAAACAAACAAACAAACAAAAAAAAACAAATAACCCACCCACAAACAAACTACAAAGAATCCCCCAAACAACCAAAACCACAATCACCCCAACAAAACCAAACCAAAACAACAACAAAAAAAAAACCCTAACAACCAAAGGTGGTATATATTAAGAAAAAAATTCCTAAGGGCACAAAACAAAAACCTGATTAGTCAACAGTTGAAAGTAGTAAAAGCTCAACTGATAATCTGTTCAGTCAATGATGCAACTAATGCAAGTAGTTAGCCAAAATATAAAGGAGGAAGAAAGGTTTAAATCCTGTGTATTCAAGAAATAAAGGGCAAACAAAGATGATGAAGTTCTGTGCGCTGTCAAATATAGTTCAGCATAAATATTGAAAGTCAGATTCTGTGGCAATGTGACATGATTCACAAGTATAGAAAAATTAAGCACACAAAGCAATTAGGTCTTCTAACCAATTCTTCTAGTGGCACTGAAATTGCTTTTACTTTGCTTTTTAACTGTAGTCACACTGGGTGAAATCTTTTATCTTTAGCTTTCTGCAATCATTGCCAAAAATATAGTTATACCTATAAATCTGCTTAACCCTAGAAGTTTTCTGAGTCTTCAGACTTTGCCATTAGATGCTAAATCAACATTAGAGGACCTATTTCCCTTCTGTTAGTTACATAATCTTGGATGCCCAGCTTAGGGTTACAGAACCCACTGTTGCACAGAAGTTAGTGAGACAACCCCCATTCAAAACATCTGTAGCTGTTCAGGGAACTTTGAATAATTCTATCAATATTGCTATTTCTAGAAACTGACAGAATTCTATCAGAACATTGAAGTGCCTCAAAAGCCAAAACAACATAGGCTTTCAACAGTCACAAAAATTATTAAAATCTACCCCAATCTGAAAGCTCCCAAATATGTATCACTTTCAACATAGATCTTTATCCCCTGCCCCCAGTGCCTCAGAAAACTTGATGACTGAAGAGAACATTGGTGTACGCGCCAACATTAAGTGAACTGGAAAACTGAAATTTAACATCCAATTTCCTCCTGAAATCATCAAAACAGTATTACATAGAAGAACTACAAAATCGCTTCCAAACATACACTATCGTAGCATACTCTGTCTAAACAACTTGAACTAACATAAATCCAGAGCTTGTGCTAAACAAACACTTTAACACAGCAGCAATTCAAAGTGCTAGCTCATTAGAAAAAAACAAACAAAGAAGCATGATTTTAACTGCCATTCAAGGTCACAGATTAAATTTTATACTATCTTTAGGATTTCAAAATGAAAATTTAGGTTAACGTGAAGTGATATGTGCATACACTGCCCTCATGCTGTATATAATACAAAATGCAGAAAATTTTGAAATCTTTCAGTAAGAAGAAAAAGCATATTCTATTATTATAGTAACATTTTTTCAGGAAAAACATCTTCACAGAAGTATTTATTTTTCTCTCAAAATAAAAACTGTACTTACAATAATATCTGTAGGTACTTCACGGAATGAATACATTGGCTTATTTGGTATATCTTGTTTACTCAGGAGCTCAAAAACTGCAGGGTAAGTGAGCAAGTTTATCAGAGACAGAAAAGACTAGAAAAAGAAAAGAGGAGGGAGGGGAAAACATTAATCAGTTAAATCTAACCAAGTAAATATTAACAATCATTTGCCATTTACTGTAAGTTTGTTCTTACCCATATTAGCTGAACTTGACATCAACAGACCTGCCCAAAAAGAGACTGCAAGCCCTGACAAGTGTCTATATAATCTAAAAGGGCAGTAATGTCTGTGAAATATGTACTATTTATCAAATCGTACAAGCAATTTTGAAAATTACAGTATTTTCATAACCACGTAATTCTAAAATCTAGAGACACAGCATACTCTAAAACATGTCACTCTCCCTGATCTAACTACAGTATTCAGAGACACAAACTGATGGCCATTATTTTAAAAATTTCACTTTTTTCAGAATTGTTATTTATTATTTTATATTGACTATAATGGATCCTTGGCACTGTGACCTGACATGAAACAAAAGAATCTTTCATTCAGCCATCCTTTGACTAGTCGCTCGCTCACTCCCCAATCCCGCTTCCTTCCTCCCCCCACTTCCAGAGGGATGGGGAGGAGAATCGGAGGAATGTAACTCCCACAGGTTGAGATAACAGCACTCCAGTAACTAAGGTATAATACAAACCACTACTGCTACCAATAATAATAAGAGAAATAACAAGGGGAGAGGACACAACCACTCACCACCCACCGACTGACACCCAGCCCGACCCAAGCAGCGATCTGGGCCTTCCGGGTAACTCCCCAGTTTATATACTGGGCATGACGTGCTGTGTGGTATGGAATACCCCTTTGGCCAGTTTGGGTCAGGTGTCCTGCCTCTGCTTCCTCCCAGCTTCCCCTCCTCCCTGGCAGAGCAGGAGACTGAGAAAGTCCTTGGTCAGAGTAAACATTACTTAGCAACAACTAAAAACATCGGTGTTATCAGCATTGTTCCCAGACTGAAAGTCAAAACCACAGCACTGCACCAGCTACTAAGAAGGAGAAAAAATGACTGCTGTAGCTGAACCCAGGACACTAGTGTACTATATTAATTTTGTCCCACATGTCAAGAAGCAACATGTATAGTTACAATAAAAATTTACAAAATGGTACGTATATCCTATCTGAAATACATCACTGTTTCTTCCACACCAATACAGAAGATTAAGTAATTTCTCACCTTCTGACAGCTTTGGTCAATAGGGTCAGTGGGAGTAGATTTGGGTTGGGTTATCCTCAAATCATCTTTTCCACACTCCAGAAGAGCCCATAATTCAGTTACAAGTGCCTTTATAAAGCCTAAACAAATTTTTTTTTCTAATCATGAAAATGACAAGAATACCAGAAAAACAATTTTCATACTAAAAACATTTTACACACCAACTCTAACTCAGATTCTCAAATATT